AGAGAGAGAGAGAGAGGAAAAATGTTAACATCAACAGCCAAGACAATTGATTATTTCTTTTCTTCTATAAGTAGCTGTAGAAAGAGTAGTAAATAATTAATTGACATACTTATTTCTTTCTCCTGCTCAAGAAAAGTCTTATAAAACAAAGTCTTATAAAACAAAGTCTGTATATCACTACATGTTTAATAATTCTTGATCTTGTTTCAGTTTAAGGCGAATTTTAATTTTCTTTTCTCTGTCTCTCCTTCTTTAAATTCTATCTTGCTTTGCATAATTAATAGCGCAATCACAGTTGACCGATCCTAATGAAATAGGCCACGAATTATTCCACGTCGGGATTCACGTGCTCTCTATGCCCGAAAATTCGGAACCGTTCTCCAAGCAAGTGGTTCACGATGCGACGATTAAAAATGCATGACGGGTGAGTTGGATGACAGGCGTTAGTCGTTGCTACTGCCTAGGCGGATAAGCGGCATGCATAAGCGACGAATACGTGCGAAGACATATAGGTAAATAGGAAAGTAATCCAATGTGATAGTCGTGGGACCAAGGTAGTCCATGGTAGAACACGACGCAAGAAGGCACCAAGAAGAAGAGGAAAAGCGGTCTACTTGTGATAAAAATTACAGGCTGGCTGGTGGCCCTCGGACACGTCATGTAATTCTCTTTCTCGCACCGTACTCTCACGACACAATGAAAATTTTTGTTTTTTTTTGTTTTTTTTTTTAGAAGTGTATGTTGGAGGAGTCTAGGGACAACGAAGATGACGATAACAACAACGACGAGACAACGAAAAGGCTACGCTTGAATACATTTTTCTTTTCTCTCTTTTTCTTTTTTTTTTTTTTTCTTATTATTCGGTCGCTAACGACCGCTGCAGCAGCAAACAGCGGCTTCAACGGCGACAGCAACAGCAATAAGTGTATAGCAAACAAAAAAAGAAGAAACAGGCATCAAGCCAGCCAACAACACCAAAAACGATTGCGCGTACCAACAACTCGAGAGAGGGAGAGAGAGAGAGTAGTCGTCGTCGTGTACTCTCGTCTCTCTCTCTCTCTCTCTCTCTCTCTCTCTCTCTCTCTCTCTCTCTCTCTCTCTCTCTTTCTTCTCTCTCTCTCTCTCTCTCTCTCTCTCTCTCTTTTCTCTCTGTCTTTCCGCTTTGCTTCCTCGACTCGTTCACGATAAACAGTGATACATCGACATTTTGTCACCCCGTTGCGCGCGAGGGTTTCCCTTTTTTACGCCCTTGTCCGTTTGTTGCCACTGTTATTGCGGACGATTTGGTATCGCGAACGTTGAACGGTGACGGCGATAGCAACGACGGCGACACGGTTCAACGAATGGCGCGATCTCACTCGATCGCCAACAAGGCGCACGAAGTCTCCATCGCCCTCGTCGCGAATGTAGACGCACCCGTCACCCCCGAGCGTGCGTGCGACCACCCACGATCACCGACTGACGACCGAGCAGCCGCAGACAGCCGCACTGCACGCGCCTCTACCTCTCTTTCTCCTTATTTCTCTCTCCCTTCCTCTTCCCTTCCACCCCTTCAGCTCTCTCTTTCTTCCTTCCACCGTTTCACCCCTTCTGTCATCGGCAGCCGCGCGCGCAGTAGGAACCTCGCGCATGGATTGAATCTAGACGGGGGTGCAAACATAACAGCAGCTGACCTGTCACTTTCACCGCACTCATGGAAGTGTCGCATTCGCAAAAAGAGAAGAAGAAAAAAAAGGGGAAGAGAAAAGAAAGGAAGGAACATAATCCAATCATAACTGCAAAAAAATTCAGTTGAGTTAAGATCGGAGATAATTATCGATGAGAAGCGGAATTCATAGAGAGAGAAACTATTTATTTAGACTACAGGAAAATATTATATTATTATAAAATGTCGCCTATATGAATTAGAGGGAAGATATTATTTGTTATCTCAGGAAAAGAGATATTGCGCTATCGATAACTGATTGAGCTTTCCATTTTATATGACAATTTGTATAATCTATTTATCAGTCTTATTCTACAACTCTCAAACGATACAACGATGAAGGGGTGTTGTTGAATGGCGCGCGTGTGCGAAAACGCCAAAGTCGAATTCTAGGGCAACCCTCTTTGGAGGGCGCCTATTCGCCACCCCGGCTGTAACCCGGTTACCTCGCCTTCTCGATCTCACCCCGAGTCGATATCCGTGCTAGCCCGTTGCCTTTGACCTTTCACCTTTACCGTCCTAGCCTGATTTCGCGAGGCAACGCAGGCAACGACCTGCCTCATTATAGCTTCATACTTTTTCGGGCGAATATCACGAAGATTTCTATTCGGAAACTGTCATAAATATTGTAAATGACTAAAAATACTTACATACATATCTTACATACGTAAAATAAATTATAAAAAATGTAATATATAATGAAAATAGAGACGGACACTCTGTATGAAAATAATAGTTTGATAAATAAATATTTTTACTATCTGAAAATATACTATTTTCTTTATATATGCATATAGGAATATTTGTAGAGAAAATATAAGGAAAAGAGAGAGGAAAACTACATCTTGTAGAAATCTAGACAAATTGACGTAATTTTTTACGTCATTCTGACGACTAATAACATATAACGTCTCAGCTTGTGCCAGCTGGGATATGAAGAAATTTAATTTTCTTTTAATTTCTAATTTAATTTCTTTACATAAATTCTTTTTGTAAAAGAAATATTTTTTATATATGTGTTATATTTGTATATAACACAAGATTCCCTATCTCTTTGCGCGCGAGCGCATATTGCTGAATATGTATAAAAAAATAATGAGTGATAATCTTATAAAAACATATATTTTATTTTAGATAATATTTTTATCACATGTGTGTATGTGTATATATATATATATATATATATATATATAGGTTATATTAAAAAAAAGGTTATTTTAAATAAAATTTTTTATAAAACAATATTATATATAAAAATTATTTATTTATTTATATGTATAAAAATAATTTTTATAATTTTTATGCATATATGAAAAATTTCTTAATTTTATATATCATATATAAAATATAAGAGTCTCTCTCTTTCTCTTTCCTCTTTATCATACACGCAGCAATTAAATTTCAAATTAAATACACATGTGTATTTTTAGATTATACAGTAATTTTATTCAAGAAATATTTTATGTACAAATGTTGTAAAAAATAGTATAAATAATTACAGTTAATAGTTAATAGTAAATAACAATATAAATTAAGGTATCTTTGTCAAGCGCGTGCACACCGCCGATGATACCAGCAAATACTCCTTGTCTTCTTGCGCATGTGTAGTATCGAAAATATCATATGGCGTAGAACGCCAATCCAGCATGAGAGGTTATGCAGCAGTGAGTGGAGCAGTGGAAGAATAAATAAATATATCGTAGAAACTATCAAGTAAAAAATTATATCAATTTATTTTATAGAATATATGTAGAATATATATTTCTACAAGATGTAGATTCCTCTCTCTTTTCCTTATATTTTCTCTATAAATATTCCTATGTATATATAATGTATATATATTCCTATGTATAAATTCCTATATATAAAGAAAATAGTATATTTTCAAATAGTTCAAAATATATTTATTGCAAATCGGTCCTGATAATAAATAACTAAACGTGTTTTAAAACGCAAAAGTTATCGCTTGAGGAAGTAGCAGACATAATTTCTGCTTTAGAATTTAATGTAAGTAATTAGATGTGCATAGGATTTCATATTGTATGACACAAAACGGAAACATGAATTCGATGAAGAGTAATGGCGAGACTGGTAACGGATTAGAGGATCTCGGTATACCGGGACAAATATATCTGAGAGACGCATTGACCAGTTGTACAGATCCACTTAAAGCTATCGAAGGATTTCAGGTAGGAAATTATAAGAAGCAATAATATTGTTTGCTGAACTTAACAGCACCAGTTAATTCATTTAGATATGATATTGTATATTTTGGAATATAGCTGGAAAATGGTATATTACTACCATCGTTACGGCCTATGTTACCTCTGCTTGATCTACATGGAGTTAGGAGATTAGACTTTCATGCCTCTGTTTTGGAGGAATTACGAGAGAAGCTAATCAAGCAGATTGATGAGATTGGCATGGAAAGGGCGGACAAGGGAGCTTCTGGAGATAAAAGATTGAAAGAATTGTTATCAAAAAGTTTTCCTGCTGTCAGAGTTGCTGCTCTGCGACCTGTTGTTATGTGTATATTGCGAAATACCGTACATATCGAAGATAAATATTTGCGTGTGTTAGTTAGGGAGAGAGAACTGTATAATGACGCTGATACAGAAGTAAAACGCCAGATATGGAAAGATAATCAAAGTCTCTTCGGCGATGAGGTCTCTCCATTATTTAGTCGATATATCATCGAGAAAGAGCAGATTTTGTTTGATCACTGCAACTTGAATAGCCTATTCTTTACGCCATCTCCTAAAGTGCGTTGCAGTTGGCTAAATTTAAATTCGCAAATTGTGTAATTTTCTCTATAAATATTCTTACATATATTTGATTCACAGGTAAGGAGACAAGGAGAAGTTGTACAAAAGTTAGCTCACATGATTGGGCATAGCGTGAAGTTATATGATATGGTACTACAATTTCTGAGGACTTTGTTTCTACGCACTAAGAATATCCACTATTGTACTTTGAGGGCAGAACTGTTAATGGCATTGCATGATTTAGAAGTAAATATGTAAAAATATATTTAAGTTTTAGTTATTGTATTCTTATCTTAATTTTTCTCCAAATTTCTAAATTGATTTCATTACAATTCTTAAATAAGTAAGTTAGTGAAAGTTCTTGCGTAATTTTCATTTTTTTCTTATTATTTTTTCTAACTTATTTAGAAATTTCTATTTTTTAAACAACAATGACATGATACCACGAATATATATTTATATTCAGTTATTTTGAGATTAAATTTGTATTTTTGCAGATTTTATTTATATCAGAATAGAATATTTTTGATTCAGAACTTCTAACATCATATATGTGGAACATATAACAAATGAATTGAAAGATCTTTGATTGGATTTTTTGCTTTACAGATAACTATTCTAATAATGAATTATTCATTGTTTTATATTTAATTTAACGTATATCATTGCTAATTTATTTTTTCAGATTTTATTAGTGATATGATAATGATATTTATATGACTTAAGTTTTATTGAAAATGCTATTTTTTTTACCAGGTACAAGATATCATTTCTGTAGATCCATGTCATAAGTTTACTTGGTGTCTTGATGCATGCATCAGAGAAAAAAATGTGGATGTTAAAAGATCTCGTGAATTACAAGGCTTCTTGGATAGTATTAAGGTATAAAATCCGATCGGACTTGCATTTTACAACGTTATCTGCATTGGAAAGATGATAAAATTTTTTGTATAGAGAGGACAGGAGCAAGTATTAGGAGATCTGAGTATGATTTTATGTGATCCCTATGCAGTAAACTTTCTCGCTAGTAGTGCAATAAAGATATCGCTTCATCTGATAATTGGCGAGGCACTGCCTAGAGATAACGCAGTGCTCGTGTTATTATTGAGAATGCTTACGCTGGGATTGTCCGCTTGGCAAATGATCGATTCGCAAGACTTTAAAGAACCAAAACTGGACAGTCAAGTTGTCACAAAGTTTCTACCAGCACTTATGTCACTCATGGTAACTTATTTTAATTATTTTATAAAATAATGTAGGAAATTCTAAAAATTAACGAAGCAACTGAGATTCGAACTCGGGAATCTTTGTTTATAAATCATGACACTCGGTCTGCATAACAGCTTTGCTTTTACAACAATCTCCGAATCCTACCAATTACTTAAGCTTTACGGCTTTTATGTTAGATAGAATATAAAAATGGGCACAGATATACAAGGTGAGCATTAATGACTATTTCTCAGGTTGATGACCAAATCAGACAACTCAATCTTAGACTTCCACCTGATGAAAGGGAAAGTGCAATCGCAATTATAGAACATGCTGGACCACCTCCCGATGCGTGCCAAGCATACGCTCAACTTTCTGGAGTAGCAGCAGTTCTGTCTATGTACTACGCGTTACACATTGGAGGTGGCGGTGGTGTTGGAAGAAGTAGAGGAGATGCTAGAGGTTTGATGAGAGTACTAGCGACATTACCTAATTCTCATGCGCAACGAGCTTTTGAAGACCCATTTTTACACACGCTGGTAATGCATCTAATAACATATTTGTTACATCTTGCAACTATTATCAAATAAAATATCATTTTTTATAATACTGTGTGAAATTCCAATACGAGTTTTCATTGAATAAATTGACTTCTAATTGCAGGTTTCGTTATTAATATTGAATATGGCTGATGAATTTTCGAACGAATCTTTTTGCACGGTAATCTTTGATGAGTTCTTCTTGGCTGGCTTAGGTAGAGACAGCGTTACACGACACTTGTTGAAATTACTTTGGTACATACATCCTAAATTGCCATCCTCGCGGTTGCATTCGTTATTGAAAGCTTTACAACCAACAAGTCAGGTAGAATTTTGCAATATCAAGAAAATTGTTGTTTATAATATGCGTTAATCCAGTACAAAGATATTTTAAATTTAACTTCCCTTCTTTTATCTATTTGACTTTTAATCTTTTGAGTTTTTGAGTTATTTGTAATTTTAAATTTAATTTTTTAAATCGTTGCTTTTGCAGCATAATGAAGCAGTTCACAGTCTTTATGAATCTCTACGTGACAAAGTTGGTAATCATTCTACAGAGGACCAATTGGCAGCGACAGCTCAAATGGACACGTTAGGTCTCGATTGTTCTCCCTCCACGCTTACTGGGATTCCGACACCAACATCGAGTACGTGTCCGCTTTAATATTTATGTAATTCAAAGGATATAAAAAAAAATGATTTGAACATTCTGAATTTATAAGTATAATTGAGTGCAAGAAAGAGTGTGTGATCATTGATGTTTTCTAATTTAATTTTCGAAAAATTTTTTAATAGCTACTTTTTAATATAAAACTGTAAAACTGATATACAAATAATTATAAAACGGTTATAAAATTTACAAAATATCTAAAAACAAACTGGATAAAAGATCATTGCATACAATCAATTATATTTTTAAAAAAGATTTACATCAGAGAACAATTAAATATTTATAAAACTACTACCATTATTTAATTAACAATATTTATCATTTGATTTAGATGTCTCTCCATTACTTGTTACTTCCATTATAAGTCTGTCTAAATAATTAGAATCTAATTTGTATGTTGTAAGAATCATAGACATATACATAGATGCTTGTTTGGATCGGAGCAGCGATTGCAGTTGCGTATCAATCAAGCTCAACCTGGAATTATATATAATTTTAATAGAAATATTTTTAAGATCCATTTACTTAAATACTTAAATTACACATAAAACGTACATCTTAATAATAATGAGTCCCACAAGTGTCCATTCGGCGGTTTTAAAGACAATGTTTGTAGCAGATAAATTAAACGTATTAACCAAGATTTTGATTAATGAGTACCTCTCGTTATTGTAAGTACATTGTGCCAGTGAAGAAATATTTGCATTTGTCGTTAAAGCGCGCATTAAATCTGGTAATCTGCAAATAATATAATATCTATAATAGTGATCAAGTTTCGGATATTAAATTTTTTTCAAGATATTTGATTTTCTAATGATCATCGAAATGAAGATTATTACATCATTATTATATTGTTATTACATTTTATTAAGATTGTCCAAGAAAATTCGACGACGAAGTGCATTGGGCGTATGAGAATCTGTTAATGGTAATACAGGCTCGTACGCATCGTCATCCTTAGTTTCGGATTCTTTCGTACTATCCTCAGGTGATGTAACTGTCATTCGTCCTTCGTAAAATGCACGTACCTATATATACATTACAATCGATTATGTCATTTTTAAATTTCAAATTGAAATTAATAAAATTTTATTGCACCTTAAGTTCCATTTTCTTGCTATCTTCTTGGAGCACAGAAAAATGGGGTAAAGGTTTGAGTACATTTTTTTCCAAGTTCGCACGATCTTCCTTTTCATCTTCAAACTGTAGCCTATTTAACTTTTTGCATAATTTTTGATATCTATCATGCTGTGTAAGATTCTCTAATAGTTGATTTTTTTCATCCACTTCACCCATTAGCAGGCAAATCGTATTTTTTGTAACCCATTCTCTAACGCTTCTTTCGACATGCATTGCAAGTTTCTGGAAAATATTTTGTACTTCTGCATTGTTGGTTTCTTTGAGGTTGTGCTTTTTAGTTTTATTAATTCTATTTGCCTTTCTTATTTTACTATATTCACTGTACATAGAGGCAGAAGAAATCACAGAACTATTACTATTACTATTACTACCACCATCACTACTCATTTCATTCAATTTGGATTGTATGATTTTTTCATCATTAGCATTGTCCTTTATTTCATCTAATTGAAGCTGTGATCTCTCTTTATTTTCATCATTGTTACTTATTTCCACTGATGGAGGTTGTAATCTTTCAGTGTCATTTTTATTTATTTGTGTTAATTGAGGCTGTAATGTTTCATCATATATATTTTCATTAAGATTCCTATTTCCTGTATCCCTGTTGTTATGTTCATGCATATGTAGAATATTTCCAGATTGACTAGCAATTTCTATCTCTAAATTTTCCAGGTTTACATCTACTTGCTGAACACTGTTATTGTAGTTACTTTCCTGATTTGTAAATTCTTTAGAATCACAATTGTCTTCTTCATTCACACGTAACTTTGTATGGGTTTCATGATTAAGTGATTTTTGTGAGTTAATATTTACAAAAGTTTCTTTCACTTTTTCATTCTTCCCATTAACTATCATTATATCATTTGATAAATGAGAGTTATGTATATCTTCTTTCACAGAGCTTAACATATTATGTGTCATATCTTTTTCTCTCTGCTTAGCTGTACTACATTCTGCAGATTCTGTGCTATCGTCATCATTGTCAGCATTTTGTGAGAACTTAATCCCAACAATGTCAATTTCATCTCCATATCGCACAGATTTTGAATTCATAGGCAAAATCTGAAAAATAGGTATATCTTCTTTCTCTCTCAACCACAGTGGGCTTTCTAACATTTGTTCAAGAAGATAATTGACTGCTCCATAACATAACGAACTGCAAAAATACTTCCGTCTACTGATGTCGTACACCTTATTCTTGTACATCGATATATGATACTGCTGTCGGATAATAACAGTCAACTGATTGGAGCAGAGAACATAGCCACATAGCTTTATTATAGCTCTCTCCTCTATCACATCTTCCATATGACTTTTACTTATAAATCCTAACTATAAGAGCAAAAAACAATTGTTAAACACATAATTAACCAGATATAAAAACAATTTAGCGCACTTACATTTTGAAGAAGCCAATCAGGATTCACATGTGGTTCTAGAAGTTGCTCGACTATCGTAAGAGCTTTCACGTCACATTGTTTCTTCTTTATTATTGCCAACTGCATCTGCGCTTTGCTGAAAGATTTAATCATTCAAATGAGAAAGAAGATCTGCGAATGCATTTCGGCGTGTGGAATAAGCAGACTCACCTCATCTTCTTGATTCTTTGTTTCTCATTTATCTGTTTCTTAGTCGCTGACATCGTCGTAGCGTTGTTCAATACAACAAATTCGGAAAGCAATAAGATACGATGATGAAATAATTTACTACTACTAAAAGCACTTTAAAACATTACATACAAAATAGCTTGTCTTCACACACGTTGCCGATCAGCTGAGATCGTGAGTTGAGGTTAGTTTTCTCTCGTTTCTACTTTCGTGTCAACTCAGACATGGCGGTCAGTAGGTTGCCGTAACACATGCGCGAATAGTAACTCGTGATTATCGAATGATTCGAATTCTATCAAAGCGCCAGAGATAAAATCTTGAAATACGGATTTGTAATTTTCTTCAATTCGCTTTCTCTTAGCCAGTTCTTAGAGAGCGTACAATTGATTCGGGATTTTATTTCATTAGATCTTGATAACATGTGCATATTGTTTCTCAGAAAGAAAATTAGATATATTAAAATTATTATTATTATCATTATTATTATTTTATTATTATTTTATTATTATTATTAAAATTATTATATTATATATTAAAATTAGATATATTTATATATCGTTTCGCAAGAAATGTATTACTATATATGTACTGTATATGTACTACGTGTGCAGGAATTATTAAATATTATTATCGGACAAAAACTAGTGAAAGGAATACGCGGATCTCGATATTTTTACACGAAGATTGTAAAAATTATTAGAAGATATTCCAATAAGAGAAGAACAGGATTTTTCTCCTTCTAGCATTAAATTTGACAACTGACAAGGCTTGATTTAATAAAAGAATTTAAAAAGCTATAAAATTATAAAATACTTTTATAGTTCTAGTATCTTCTTTTTTCTTTTTTTTGTTGTGTGAATATTTTTAAAAGAATTAAAATTAAACGTTCAGGTAGACGTCAATTGAAGAAATGAATAAAATATAACTTCATGTCAGTTCTTTATAAATGAATAATATAATTTATTATTTAAATACTAAAATTGTTATAAAAAATTTTACAAATCAAAGTTTCTTATCGGAATAATTTTTCTTAATAATTGTTTGAGTGTATTAAGAGAAACGTTATATATTTCATATACTAGATTATCGTTCTCGTCAGAAAAGGTAATTAGGTAAACAATAATTTTATTCATGTGATAATAAATCTTATTTAAGTAAAGGGGGGAAGCAGGTTTTGAAAAAGTAAAAAATGCTGACACACACTTAAAAGATTGTTGCCAGAATATATTTCCTCTGTTTCTTTTTCTAACGGCAACAGTCCAGTTTGCCATTAGCTACAATATCGCTCGACTCATACTCTCTCTCACATTCATAAATAAAACACACGCACGCTGCAAGTCGCGAAATGAGAAAGATATTTTATCTGTACACCATTGACCGCAAGATTGTTTCTTTAGGTATATTCGTCCGCGCATATCTTCGTTCATTATTCCACCTCGAAGGATGTAAGTATTATCGTATTTTCTTTTTAAGTATTTCCGTGATATGACAAACAACTGTTTGGAATTTTCAAAAACCTTCATAAAAATCTACGAAATTTGTAACATGATAAAGATGTATACAGTGTTTTATATTAACATTTATTATTGAAAGAATGATCGTGTAAACTCCTAAAAATAGAAATTTCTAAATAACGCGCTAAAAACAAACGCTCTAAAAGTTGTTTTTATAATCTATAACATTTTTATAATATTCTTTAAACACGTGTGTTATTTTAATTCATCTTCGATAACACGCAAATCCAGTTCGTCAAAATATGTCAAGTAGAATTGATAAAAAAATTCTCTTTAAATAAAAATCTTTATTGAGCTTCCTACAAAATTTCTTAAATTTTGAAAGCAAAAATTAGCTTTGCGCAATCTTTTTCTTTCTGATTAAAAAAGTTCAAGTAATTTCACTCTCTATTCATTCTCTATTTTATATTTAATTGTATCAAGTATTTTTACATGTTATCTAAATAGAAAAGATAAAGTTGGAAATTAATTCTTAACTTGTGCAGAGACACCTTCGCTTTTTAAATTGTCGGAAAAGTGATGCACAAAATGCAGATACGTTCAAGAGCGCGGAAAACATTAATAAGAGGAGAAAGTTTCTTGCATTAGGAAGTTCGAAATCATTCTGGATCATTGCGGATTGATTGTCACGATAGTTGCGCTGACGGACTCGCGTGAGCATTGTACAACGACGACTCTTAAATTGTGCAAAGAAATGAAGAATTGCCGTTGATTTTGCAAAATTTAGAAGGAACGGAAATGCAACAAATTCTTACAGCGATTAATCTGTTTATTCGCATATACGGATGTATTATTCGAATCGCGAAGCGTACGTCCTGTCTTGCTTAACTATCTTCGCTTAACTATCCCTTTATAGATCACACTTTCGATCACAATACGCAAGGTATCCGAATAAAAGTCAATTAGAGAGCGATTTTTTTTTAATTGTCTTTATAAAATACTACTGAGAATTAAAAGAAATCTTGAAGGAATATTATTATTGCAATAATCACTTTTTCAATTTATTTATAAATACAAAAAACAACTTCTAAGGTAGAAAAGTTTGAAAGATAGAAAACGTTTTATAAACGTTTTTTAAATTGCTATTCAAATTGCTTATCGTTTGACTTATTGTATGACAAAGTGCTATATCTGTGGATTGTTTAAGGCACGTGTTACTCGACATGAACAATTGATACGCCATCACGTAGGGAAAAAAATAATTAAAACTGCAATTATATTATCGTTCAATTAATATTTGACAAGATATAAAACACAAATTATATTAGAAGGCATTAATTTAAGTAAATTAATATTCAATGCATATGAACAGATCTAAGAAATAATACTAATTAGGATAATGCTGTTGCAAATAATATTTAAAATGTTACTAAAGTTAATTTAATATATATTACTAAAGCTAATTTTTAAAACATTTTTTGTGAATTTTTTGTTACTTAGAAAAAAGTTAAAAGTTAAAAAGTTAAAAAAATTCCTTTAGATTTTTATGCTATAGATTAACATACATATTAATAAGAGATTTCAAATATATCATCTGTTTGCAGCATTATTTACATTAGACGCAATATAAAATGGATTAATTAATTTTCAAACTTATTTATTTACTTATCTCCTGAAATATGTACGTAAATTTATATACCTTTTAATTTACTTTGTGTTTTATTTATTATATAAAATTGAATAAAAACTAGTTAATTAGAAATTAAGTAATACAGTTAAAAAGTTAATAACTTTCAACTTAACTTACTTAATTTCAAATAATTTCAAATTAATTTTAACTTTTTATCAATTATTTCTTAAAATATAAACTTTAATCTTTTAACTTTCATTTAAATAAAATTTTCCATATTATAATTTTTTATAGTTTATATTATATGTTTAATCATTTAAAATAATTTAATTTAATTTTAATTTTTAAAAATTACAATATTTTACAACAATTTAATACAGATAATGCTTTTTAAATTTAATTTTTCAAATAAATTTATTTCAAATATATTTGCTTTATATTGTAAATTTAACTTTTAATTAGTTAGTTTTTTATTCTAAATTTATTATAAATTTTCATAGGCTATTAATTTTAACTCAATTTAAAAACTGGATTTTACTTTTCCAACTGTGTTTGTTATTGATATTCATCAATAGTAATATATCACAATATTAGTTTTTTATGTCACGTTTTTTTCCCTACGTGTGTCGATCGGAACTGTCAGATATATCGCGGGACATTTTAGTTTTGATTGATATTGAGCATTGTAAATATACATATATATATTTGAGCTATTCTTAACGACTAATGTAAACCCGATACCGGCATCGTCCCGGCACTATCCTCTCGCATCAACGCATTATCCTTTGCACAAAGAACATTGCAAAACGCGAGTACTACGAGATTAACCCTTTGGCTGCGAAGGGCGCGTTACGCCAACGTAAAACTGTGAAATCTATGACAGCGGAGGGAGAAAACAGATTGGCAGATTATCGCGCGATTAAAGATCCAGAGATCTAAAAATCCGAGACGTGAAAAATATATAGCTTAACATTAAGGCTCGTATTATCGCCGTACATTTCAAATTAAATGTAATTCTACATGTAATTTTTATTTATTCTGCTGATATTAAATGGAGCAGAATAAAATTAAATGGCCGCGCACAGTGCCAAGTATGTACGATGACGATACGGTCTCATTCGAAGAAATAGAAAATCAACGATCGATAAATATTTAGAGATTTCAGAATTGATAAATCTGTTCTTTCCTAGAGTTATATGTAATGAAATATTGACACTCTTTATAAACTTTCCCAAAGAGAAATATTAATGTCGCTAAATGTATACACCTATAACTGATCTTCTTGATACACCCTGTATATAATAGTTCGTTCCTCAAGTAATGTTCGAGCTTCGATATCATGTATAAGATACTTGGTACGTATGAATATACATAGCGACACACAACTTTAACATCATTTTTTTTCCACCACTATTTCGTAGCAAACACTACTATACAAAAGTCTTCGAAATCACATTATTAATCCTCGTCCAGTGATGTCCGAGTACTTTCAAAAATTCAGTTCCGTGTATAATATTAATATTTTCAACATTTTCAATTATTATAAAAGGAGAAATGTTTCCCTTTTCATTTAACAGTCAAGTATTTACTACTTCTTATTATTTATTTATTTATTTCCATGCCTATTTTTCGAATACGTTGCAACGTATATTTTATTAAACATTTTGATGTGTGTAATTTTAATGTGTGTAACATTTTAATGTGTATTAAGTTTTAATTTCATTTAAAACTTAACAACACAAATTTGATTAGAGGCATAAATAAAAAATAATTTGTTACACGGATCCGACTGTAATCGAACGCCACTCTCTCTCTCTCT